TTACACTGCTATAAATTATTTTAAATTAGTGCCCAAATATACATGCTAAAAATAATTATATCATTGCTTTTGATCTTGTGGAGATCTTGTGTGATCTGTTGAGGAAATAGTTGTTTCAACATTAGCTCCATTATTGGGTTCATTATCACTTGATTCTTGTTCCTCAGCTGTGAAAGAAAAACAAAATTGCATGATTATATTTAGTACCAGATTAAAAAATAAATGCTAGATTAGTTATGAGATAAATTATTCAAAATATTTTAACTCATTTTAACTAGGAATCTAAAAAATTAAATAAATTAATAAAATTGTTTATCGATGACCCCCAGCCTTAAATGGCTGCATACTTGGCCCAAAATAATTTAATAAAAATGGGTAATACTTATCAATCTTTCAGTCATTTTATCATTTAGTGCATGTGTGATTATGGCAAAGCCTCGAGGGCTATCTGCCTAGGGAAAGGAATGCCTTCGTGGAGGACTTTCTAAGGGAAACTGGCTCGTATACACGTTACACATGGGGAAAATCATGAAAACGCCCATGCAGCCAGCGCGTTCGTGGAATTCGAACCTCGGACCGAACTACCAGTGTTCAGCGACTTTACCGCTCGGCTGCTGGTAGGCCCATTTTATCATTTAGAATGTTGCTCCATGGAACAGATCAATATTGCTCCCACAAAAGAAAAAGGCAAACATCTACAAACAACCAAACTATAACACCTTACAAACCTTATACAGGAATTGAGCCTGCACTGTGGAGTCCAGGCCAGCAATCAACCTCCACTACCTGCTATACTCTTCAGAGTGACTCTTATTCATTAGTAAAAAGAAAAGACTAACAGAATTCAAATGTCTTATAGTAAATGGCACTTTTAGGAATTTGTTGGATTTTTATGAAAAAATTTAAAGCAATTTTTAATATGCATAGTAAAAGCTATTGAAAAACTTAAATTTGCAAATCTTTCAGAAAATCACATATTGAAGGATAAACTCCAGCAAACAGTGCACATTATTATGCAGTAATAACAGCATAAAATCAAACACATCAAACTTGAGACATAATACGTTCCAATTCTGATACTTAATATTTTGAAAAAGAATCGTAAGGTAATTCAAACAGGTATAACAGCACAGCAATAAAACTATCAAACATTTCAACATAGCTATTACTTCCTATTGCTCTTAAGTACAATACAAGCTATAAAGTACAGTACAAATAATAAAAATATTGCTAAAGCATAAACATCTCTTCTTATTTTATTTTATTTTATTTTATTTTATTTTATTTTACCTTTCACATTAGTTTCTTCAGGATTATCTTCCCCTAGAAAATCATCTAAAGCTGATATATCTTCTTCAAGATCAATCTCCTCCAATGATACAGATGTTGCACTACTCTGACTTGACACCCCTATAATAAAATAAATGAGTAAGTATAAAATGGAGCAAAATTCATTTTTAATTTTTAACATGATATTTTAAAATATTAAAAAACTAAATATAAAAATATAAATAAACTGCTTATTAATTTAGGTAACGTAAATTCATTTTTGAAAGACATCAGGAAATAGATTAGTTTCCATTTGATTGTAAAAATCTTTTATCAACCATTTTAATTTTTCTTTATTTCCCATTGATTAATTTTGCAATAGTTAATCTACATTAATATATAAAGTACCCACCACTTATTAAAATCATTTCTTGTCCATACATATTTGAATCTATTAAGCAATTTAGTTTAATAGACAGAGATTTGAGTACTGGAAATTATATCAGCTTCAGATTTATCTAGTAAGACAGCAACTAAATATTAATACCTAAATAATAAAATTTAATGCCAAAATTAAAGCTTTAAAACTTGTGCTGCTTTTCTACTAATTGTAATTTATAGTATTTTATTCCACATAATTTTGCTGTTGGTTTAAGTTTCTACTGCTCTATCAGTTTTTTTTTCACATGTTGTCTCAATTTTATCCTCAAATGCAATATATTTTACAAATAGATTTTAACTTTCCTCACTGAAGTCCAAAATGATGGTTGTAGCTTGCAGTTCCTTCAAGGCTTAGTAAAGCTTTTCTAAATAAAAACCACATTTTTGAAACAATTTTTAATTACATTTTGAAAGACTGCTGCCCATATATTAATTATAATATGCATAGCCTCTAATAAAGATATCAACTTAGTTAATCTTTTTCAAAGTTCTTGCATTTCTACAAGAATTTCTTTAAGCCTTTTTTGAACATCATATTTTCTGCAATGATATTTGAAAGCTTTGATAAATGATCATATACTACTATAAAGGCTGAATAACAGAAATTGTATTTACAGGAAGAAACACAAATTTAATACCTTTCAAAACAAGATCAGATAGCTACACAACACCATTATCAATTAAGCATTTTTTTTTTTTTTTTTTTTTTTTTTTTTTTTTTTTTTTTTGTTGTTTGTTGTTGTTTTTCAACTTGCTGTCCCATTTTAAAAGAAAATTAGAAAAAACTTCCTGCTTGTCATCAATAAATTCTTGTTATTACCAGAAGTTACATGTAAATCCTTGATTCCCTTCAAACACTGAACTTTTCTGTTTTTTCAATAACCAATGATGTCTTCTTTAGTGTTACATTGATATTGCATTTTAACAACACAGTAACTTGCTCTTTCAGTTCCTTAAAATGCACAGCTGTTTCACTTTAAACATTAATGTGCATTCTGGCAATGTTCTGTAAAACAGGCCAGTTTCATCTGTATTATAAATTTTGTGTGGCTTTTACTCCATTTAGCAACCCAGGTAAAACAACCTTTTATCCAGCCATTAGTCGCATGATGATCTGCTTCTTTTTTCTCACCATGCAGTTTATGAAGGACAGAGCTATCTTGTGAATCATCTACAGTTGACAGAACATTCTGCTCTAACATTTTAGTAAATTCCACAGCTTTTAAGGCCAAAAGAATATGTTTTAGTCTCAAATCTTGAAACCATCCTACTATCTGTCTATCACAAAAACGACTCTCCCTGGTATGTCTGACTGGAGGTGGCCATTACAGTAACAGAATTATATATTTCAAACAGGCAGGAGTCTGGTGAGGGTTTCATTGCTACTTTCTTTTTAGTGAATATTGACTACAGGAGAGACAAAAGAATGTTACAATGAGTATTTTATTTTACGCAAAAATAAAAAACGTATACTGCCAATCTGGCATTAAATGCATCAAGATGGCAAACATAAATAAATTTTTTCAAGTCGTATTGATTTCCTTAAGAGAGCTCTGATCATACTTAACACTAATAGAAGCCAATACATTTTACAAAATTAATCATTTTATTTACAAAAACAACCTGGCGTGCATCGATGGTTACCATCTTTTACATCACTAACTGAACTAACATTCTTTTCTCAGAAGAACAGTGCTCTCTAATGGTGATACAAAAAATCATTCGTGTTATTTTTTAACACTTCCCATCTGATAATTTGGAAAAATTATCACTATTTTAGCATACAAATGTAAAAAAGCAACTTTCATATCAATATCAAGTACATTTACCTGATGTAAACATAAACAGCAAAAAGAAAATTCTATAAAATTAACAAATATAGTTAACAACATACAATTCACGTTACTCAATAAGTAAATATTAATTTGAATTACAAACAGAAAATATTAGTAATAACTAATTAACTATAATTAATGTTAGTGAACATGAAATATAAAAAATAAAAATAAAATGTTACGAAATTAGTTCATTTTCAGTCAGATAGTTCAAAGGAGTATATCAATTACACAGGTCTCTTAAAGCCCCTTTTTTTTCATTTTCACCACACATGATCGTACAAGACCATCACGTCTTTAAAAACTTGAATTATTCAACCTAAATCCCAGAAGAACTTAGATTTAGTTGTTCCTTCAAATAAAACTATATCACCAGTTTTAAGATTTTTCTTAGTTTTGGGTGTATCGAAGAAATGAACATTTCTTAAATGAAGAAGATACTGATTTTTCCATTTTTTCCAGAACTGTTTTATAAGTGTTGTCTGATATTCTTTTCATTTTATTAAACTCTCTCTTGTTAGAAAGCTATGCAAGATCTCAGCAAAGTTGTACGGATATTCATCTTTATGTCCGATCAATAGAAAATCAGCCAGCAAAAGAGGTTCAGGTTTATGTAAATCGTTGTAAACATAAGTCAAAGGAAGTCTGTTCACAATATTTTCAACTTCTGTCAGCACAGTCATAAATTCTTCAAAAGTCAGTTGAGCTCTGCCTAATATCTTTTTCAATGGTTCCTTAATACTTTTCATAAGGTGTTCATAAAAAGCTCTCTACCATGGAGCAAGCTCCACAATAAATTTGCAACTCAAGCCTTCATTTGCTAGAAAATTTTGAAAGTTTGCTCCTTTAGTTATGCTGTAAAAGTACTGTAAATCTCTGGCAGCATACCTGAAAGTCTTCGCATTGTCTGAATAAAAAGTGCGACAATTTTCTCTCCTCGAGATAAAACGTCTGAGAGCCAAAATATTGGAAATGAGTTCTAGATGTTACACTTGTGTAACAGTGCACGTAAACAATACAATGTATGATTTCTGAATATCATTTCCAGACTTGACGCAAACCGCACCTGTGAAATCCACACCTGTAACATATAAAGGTGGAGTTTCAACAATTCGGTCTTTAGGTAACTGAGCTGTCATTTGTTTCGCTGGTTTTACTGCATATTTTTGACATATTAAACAGTTCCCTAAGACTTTCTTCACCAACTCATGGCCTTTAGGAATCCAAAATTTCTGTCAAAGTTTGGCTAAAGTTACTGCAACTCCTGTGTGCAGAACGTTATGTATTATGTTCCCTTTTCATAATTAATTCAGTAAATTTGGAATCTTTAGGAAGAACTACTGGATGTTTTTCGTCCATTGTGTATTCGTTTTCTTCTAATCTTCCCTTAATTCGAGGAATGTTATTTTCATCAAGAAACAGTGCCAAGCTGAATATATTAGAGCTTGGAGAAATTGACTTGTGAGATTAAAAGAGCCTTAATTTCATGTGTGAAGAAATCCATCTAGGCTTTATGAATACAAAATATTTCAGCGTCTTGAATTTCAGAAGCACTTAATGTGTCACCACTAGCTCGCAGTTTTCTTGCCTTAGCAACGAAATATTTAATCCATGACACAATTCTGAGAAATTTCAGCACATTACTGAATTTTGTTATATCCAATAGCTGATCATCTCTTCTCATAACAATGTCATAAACAGATAACTTACTACGGCATTCCAGTTGTTGATCGTTTTCCACGTCAAAATTCGGTTGAACTGGCCAGTTTATATGTTGGTTTTGTAACAATTCTGGTCCAAACCACCATAGTGAACAAGTCTTCAGAGAATTTACACTCAAACTTCTGGTTAGCAAATCAGCAGAATTTTTTTTACTGCAACAATGTTTCCAGTTATTGGGATTTGTCAAGGCTTGAATTTCTGCAACCCTATTAGAGACAAAAGGTTTCCAGTTGCTAGAAGATCCTTTTACCCAGTGTAATACGATTTGTGAATCTGTCCAGAAATATATGTGTTGACAAATATGATTAAATAATTTAGTTAGATATTTTGCAGTTTAGCTGCCGTCACTGCTGCCATCAATTCTAATTGGGGAAATGTTAAACATTAAAGAGGAGCTACTTCGGTTCTTGATAAAATGAAACTCGTTTTGATTTTGCCAAACTTGTTTGTATATCTGAAATATGCTATACATCCATATGTGTTATTACTTACATTGCAGAATATGTGTAAAGAAATGTCACTATTTTACTTATCAACATTTTAATAGTATTTTCTATCTATTGATATTTTTTGTAAATGAATTATTTCGGCAAGCCACTTCTTAAATTCAGTTTCAGTACATTCGGAAGCTGTTCGTCCCAATTAAGACCCTTTACCTATATCTTCTGTAGTAGGATTTTAATTCTGATCACGAATGGTGATAGAAATCCAGTTGGACTTAAATTTTAGCAGTAACTTGTAATACTGTTTTTTAGTATATAATACACAACTAGTTGAAAATTATTCTAAAGATTTTAAATCTAGTTTAATAGCATCATTTTCTGTATCCCAACCAAGACCTAAAATTTTAGCTTGCGCAAAGGAATCATTCACTGATAAACCGTTTTTTAACCACATGTCCTTTAACTCCTTAGAATTGGAATTAAATTTAAGTAGATTCATACTCGTGTGCTTTAAACTCGTAACTGCATCAGATGACAATTGGTATGCCTTTTCTACTGTACTCATTCCATAATACAAATCATCGACATATAAAGATGAATTCAACATTTCATAACTTTCAGATTTTTCAGTGATGTATTTTTTAATATGGTGCTTTATTGTGGCTGCTAGAATGAATGGACTGGTACTAATACCAAATGGTAAACATGTCATGTTCATAATTTTGAACGTTCACAGTTGCCATTCTGAAACCAAAGAAATTTTAAATATTTGCCATCTTCCTCGGCAATATTTATCATTAGAAATGCCTTTCCTATATCAGCGGAAAAAGCGATATAGGGTTCTCGGAATTTAAGAATGACATCTAATATGTTAGGATTTAGATTAGGTCCAACCTGTAACAAATTATTTAAAGATTTAGAATTTTCTCCTTTATATGACACATCAAAAAGAATTCTAACACGAGAAGTTTCTTTATCTGGTCTTATCACTGCTCTATGGAGCATATAATAATCTGATTCAAAATCTTTATTTTGATATACTTCAACAATTCTCTCATCGAGTTGTTCTTTAATTATTTTTGTGTATTCCTTACGCATTTCTACATCTTTATCCAATCTGTCTCTAAAAATCTCAAAACGCTTCTTTGCAATATGAAAATTATTATTTAATTCATCAGGGTTAGATTTCTAAAGCAATTTAGTTTAATATCTTCCCTTATCAAAGGATAAAGAGTTTTCAAATTGATCAATTATTTGTTTATCTTTAACTGCCAGTCTACATTTTCTTTTGAAAAAGTAATTGTGTCTAATTCCCAAAATACTCTTAGGTCATTCATTATCACATTGTTCATAATGGAAATATTTTGTAAACAAGCTTTCACTTTTCCGAATTTTGTACCATAATTACCCATCCAAAGACAGTTTTTAATGCACCTAAATGTTTATTTATAGCGATTTTTTCATCTAAAATAAATTTCCAAAATATATCAGATCCTAGTAAGATTTCAACATTCAAATACTTATCTCAACAGCATGAGTCAGCGAGTGGTAATTTATGACTAGTCATGAATTCTGACACTTGTTTATCTGGAGGAGAAATTATGGCACCAGTAATGTTTGGGATAATGAGAGTTTCGATTTTAATTGAATACTGCGTATTATGTCTAGCTTTAATTTCAAATTATGTGACTGGATATTCTTTTTTGCAGTGTACTGCATTCCAAAGGAATATACAGGAAGTAATTCATATCGAATAGATTTTAACTTGAGCGTATTCACTAAATATTCACTACAAAAACTTCTTTGACTTCCATTATTGAGTAGAAGCCGAGTCACTTTAAAATTAAATTCTAAAATTGCAACAACTGCACATGTTTGTATATAAACATTTTTGGAACATGTCATACTTGCATTACACTATGAAACTGAACTGACAGTTTCAGAATTAGAATTATTTAACTCTTAAGTATCTTTAGAATTACAACTTAAATTCAATGATTCTTTACATTTGTCCTCAATATTATTCATTTGATTAATTGTTGCAGTATTACTATTTCGGTTATTACCCGAACAAATGGAGCTATGATGACTTCACTTTTGCACTTGAAACAAGAAAGTTTATTAGAACGACAATTTTTACCATTGTGATACATTTTAAAACATTTAATACAAAGTTTAGTATTCTTAAAATTTATATTTTATTTTGTGGTGACATTTTACATTTGAATGAATCATGTGGTGCAGAACAGAAAATGCATGTAGACTGTATCATATTGAATGCCATTGCTGATAATGTACTTTTATGAATTCCTTTCACGAAAGTGTTTTGGTTTTGAAGCTTTGCATTCGGATCACTAATTTTTCCTAATGGTATTTGAAATTTTGTTTCGTGTTCATTTTAATATTTGTAGGGTATATTGTAATAAGCAGCGGATATTGTATATATAATTAATTTATGAAATTCTGCATATACAACCAGTAATAAATAATTCTAAAAGAATCAAAGATTTACTATATCCCTCAGAATTTACCTAAACTTGACATTAAAATGCTAAAATATTACAAAATTAGCTACTTTTGAATGTACCTATATTTTTTCTATTAAGGGTTCAAGCAGATCTCATAAAACTTAAATTAATGAAAAAAATTCTTGAACTTCCTCGCCTATGTCCTCAACCACAAGAACTACATAGTGTATGAGAGTACTACTTGAAAATCAGTGTGAATTCCCATTCTGAGATGAAGAAGTAAATCAAAGTTTTAATTGCTTAGCTCAGTGCAAGGACTCGTGGCATGAGTGAAATTCCTGAAATCTCGTGTATCTGCTTTAAAACAACAAAGTCATGTTTTCATTATTATTGGATTGTTTTATTGAAGTGATTAAGTTCAAAACACGAGCACCCAAAGAAAGCTCATGTCAAAAGCAAAATGTGTTCAAATGGTCATGCCAAAAACATGATAGCTTTAATGAAAACGATGACAGATTATTATCAGGATCAGCCAAAATAAATTGTTACTAATGTATTTGTGTGTGTGTATTTAATTATGGCAAAGCACACTACGGTTATCTGCCTAAGGGGAGGGATGCCTTCGTGGAGGACTTTCTAAGGGAAACTGGCTCGTATACACGTTACACATGGGGAAAACCACGAAAACACCCATGCAGCCAGCCCGTTCGCGGGATTCGAACCTCGGACCGAACTACCAGTGTTCAGCGACTTTACCGATCGGCTGCTGGTGGGCCAATTGTTACTAATGAGAAATAATTATCTAGCACAGTAAGCATTAAAATGACTATTATTGTGCTTTTTGCAGAGAAAGAAGTAAAACATAAAATTGGTAAAGATGCTATAAATGCAATGAACAGCTGCAATTGCAGAAGAAGAATCTGATCAAGAAACAAGAATTGTAAAAGTTGTTGTCACAAAACAATTATTTCTATTCATGAAAAAATAAAAAATGAATAAATAAATAAATAATTAAACATTTATGTTTGTGGACAGGTTATACTATTAACAAAAGATTCAAAAGGATACCTAGAAATTAGAAAAGAGAATTAGGAGTTTCTACTTCTGCACTTACAGTCACTTAATTTGCTATTCACTTTTTCCCTTCTATAACCAAGTTGTTATCATTTGAAAAAAAAAAAAAAAAAAACTTTGCACAAAAAAAAAAAGAAAGCTTTCAGATTTTATATTATGCACGAAAGGGTGTTTACATAGCGTTTTGTGTGTTACTTTTATTTATTAAATATGATGTTCTTCCCATTTAAACCACAAAATTCAACTCAACAGTTAAAAGAGCATATCTTTAGAATTTCTGATACACAGTCTCGCGAGCTGGAGATAATTTTTTTCCCCATACGGTGTTGCCATTGCTTGCTTTGGAATCGTTGAGTTTCTTAATCATAAACTCATAAATGCTTTACAAAATATGAAATAGATAATAAAACAAATTCCAAATTTAGGCTTCCTGATGCTTATATTCAGGCCCGTATTTGTTATTAAAAATTTGATGGCTCTAGGTACCATCATTTTATCACAATGCGAGAAACATACATACATTTATGCAGATTCTTCATTATTTAATTTCTTTAAATATAATACAGGGCTCTAATATTTGGTGGCAACAATTTAAAAAGTGATTCGCCATTTAAAGCAAATCAATACAAAATGTGCAAACAAAATTAATAGTCCCTCTGGGCAAATTGCCCCTTTGGGGTAAAATTGAACAAAAGGAAGTTTAAAAAGTGATATAAAACAGTAGAACCATCTAATTAAACCAATTTTAATAATGCTTTGAAAAATTTATAAACAAAATTCTTTCTATGAAGATATATATATTCTTATAAAATTATTATTTTATAAGAAATAAAAGAGCACAAAAATTGATTTCTATTTTGATTAACAGAAGAAAATAGAATGCAGAAAAAGCATAAAAATGTTTTTTTTTTTTTTTTTTTTTTTTTTTTTTTTTTTCTACTTTCTTTTTAGATTAACTTTTGAATATTCTTAAATCCCAGTAAATTAAAAAATTAAGTTATTAAATCTACATCTTTTACACATAAATAGAATCATAATGTTAAATAAAATTGTACTTTATTTAGAAAATACAATACTCACTTTTTCTCAACTCTTTAATACCATGAGTTTTGTACTGTTGCAATTCTTCTTCAAATGCTTCTTGGAAAGTGTTCTGTCTTTCTCTTAAAACTGCCTCCTGCTTTTTCTCATATTCAAAAACTCTGTGAGCATGTTCTTCACCCAGTTTAACTGTTGAAATAAGAGAAATTATTAAAATATGGCTTGAAAAAAGAGCCTTGAAAGATTTCAAACAATATTCCCTATTGTTTCTTAAAATAAATTAAAAAAAAAAAAAAGAAGAAAGGAAGCCTTTTGTTTTATATATACATAGCAATTATATTGTTAAATTTTAAACTGCTGGCTTTTATGCATGCAAAGAAAAGTTAAACTTTATATTCATAAATTATGTGTATCAATAAACATAAAAATGAAAATTAATTTAATAAATGTCTGACTATAAACATATTGTTGTGGGTAATTTTCCATGAGAAAGGGTTTGCTTTAGATTTAGGATAAAGATCAAACAGGTGAAAAAAGGAACTGTAGTGATAAATAACTAAATTTTCAGGAATTAATACCATTGCCAACTTGCCAGTTTTAAGCTTTCACTGCATATTCCCAAAAGCAGAGTTATAAAACATTTTGTACCCCATTTGAGGCTCAAAAACCACTATTCTAAGATATGAAAATTCTAAACACTTTGATAAGAATCCCTGGGTTATGGTAATTACAGTTTGAGAAACCTCTTAATATGTAATTATACAGTGCTATGCAATATGAAATAAGTTTTAATAAACTTTGTACATGTATAATAAGCTTTGTTTAATAAGCTTTAATAAGCATCCTTTTTCTGACATTCAACTAATATATTATAAATTCTAAAAGCTGCTTATTCAGTTAACAATTCTAATTTCCGCCTTGACCTACTTGGATTCAAATACTGGATAAAGTAACATTTACAGAATCATCTCTCATCTCTTTCTAGATAAATCACTGGTGCATTGCCTGTAAAGTGCCCAATGAGTTCACTCATCCCCCCCAGTGAGGTAGCTGATACGCATTATCATGAAGTGCAGGAAGAAAAACTTTTATACAAATATTCAATTTCTATCTCCATAAAAGAAAATTTATTTCAAATCACTGACATAGTAAAGAAGACAAAAATATAGAAGGCCTATTTTTCAGGTACACTGTTGCAAGAGCTAAAACTATACTCAACATAAAAATACTTATGGGAAAAAAACATACTTTATATTTTCTGGCTATTTAGAAAAATTATAATTAAAAGTAAATTAAAAAACAAATTTCAGAAAATTAACCTTTCATATCTTCAAAATCAGCTAATTTTTTCTCTTTATACATTGCAAGCTGAAATCTATGATCAAGTTGTCTTTCTTGAAGTTCTTGTGTTTCTATAACATCTTCTAAATTCATGAGAGCATCTTCGACTTCTTCAAATATACCTTCTAACTCACCTGATAGAAAAATAATAAATATAATTACATAATCTATTTATTATTTATTTAATTTTTACATGAGGTAATTACTTCACATAAAGTTTTACAATTATATATAATAACTGCAGATAAACATGAACACTTTATTTAAAGAATGTAACAGAAAGCATTTATTCTGATCAACTTTTATGCAATGCCTTTCATTAATTTTCATATGCAAAATTAGCTAAATATGCACTTAATTCTTACAGATATGGATCTGTTTACACTATTTCTTAGCTTCAGAGATTTCTTTAATAAAGAAAACTACTGTATTTTCTGGAACATAAGATATACTTTTTTTACTCCAAAAAGTACCCTAAAATCAATTTGCAGCTTTTGGGCCAAGGGTATAACTTCATCCTCTGAGACAAAAGCTGATTCACAGAAAAATATACTATTGAATATTTTTTTTTCCTTCATCAGGCACAGAAAATAGCTGCCTTTATTGCAAATGTCAATAATAACACCATTTTGAGCCAGAAAAAACAAGTTTTAATATTTCCTTGACAGAAGTTCTTAAATAAGTTCCCATATATATCACATATATACACAATGGAGTGTATACATATGTTTACTATATAGATAATGTAGTTTGGCTTCATCTGACATGTTTATCCATCTTGGTGGCTATGATGCTGAAAACAGCTTCAAAAATAACTTTTGTATCACTTATTTAGAAGCAATGCAGAACTATAAAAAGTTCTGGTTTAGTAATGTGCATTAAATGTAAATTAATAAAAATATATAGCACTACTTCTCAATCAAATCATGCCACACACCTGTAACAAAAGGGATTAAAACCACAACCAGCTGCATGGAAGCAATTTCACTTTTAAAGCCATCTAACTTTTTCACTTTTCTGGACTATCTGGGTACTTTAGATCACCTTACATTTTAAAACAATATTATATTTATTATTACCTTTTAAAATGCAAGTAACAATAGGACCTGCCATATCTGCATTTGTTTGTTTACACCATATTCAGCACTCAAAATAAAAGAGCTCTTCAGGTTGGGCAGTTTCTACTAGCTCAAAATGAAAGCATCTCAGTGATTGGTCCATTGGAATCAGAATATCTCTTGCGATAAACTCGGAATCTACAGGCAGTCAAACTTTAGTAGTATGAGAGTGTCATCCAGTCATTCAATACATAATATGTTCCTTCCTATCTAGGAAATTCTCTTTCTTTCTCACATCTTCTTTTACGTGGAAAAACTAAGTGTTGCATAAAAAGTTAAAATTAGGGTACAATCAGGGGATCTAAAGAGAGAATATTGTTATACAGTATAGCATTTAAACTTGAAGGTCATAAATTATACTTCAGGGCATAGAAACGGAGCAGCTGAAAGATGTTTTGTCCTACCTTCAACTAAAACAGAGGACGCAGAAGATGGATTTAGTGAAAGCATATATAAGTAAAAGAACTTTATTTTCATGTGCTCTTAAACAGTCAAAGATTGAGGAACATGTTAGGAATGGATAATAAATCACAGGCAGAAGAGGATTACTGTTTCAACAAAAATGACTTTAACTGGCACGAGAAAATTAGTGATAGATATGTCTATTGCCAATTTTTCTGGGATGATGTCAGGGCTGCTCCTAGGCCATTGGCTGCCCGTGTACTTTCCTAAGATTGCTGCCTCCAAATTTTTTAAAAAAATGCTCAATGATTAATAAAACTTTTATTTCATACTCACTTTACATATGACAAACTGTATGAAAAGTACTTACATATGGCAAATACTTACAATTAATTTAATGAACTAAAAATATTTAGGCATATTTAGGCGAGAGTCTGGCTGCCCTTGATTTTTGCTACCTGTGTAATTTTACGTGTTGCACCCCCTCCCAGGAACAGCCTTGAATAATGTCATGCTGTGAGAGATTCATGAATAAAATGGTCTGTGCACGTGTAACAGAACCACAACAGCACAAAATCTGCCACTTAAATGTGAAAAAATGATTACAGAATTCCACAAATATCTTATCAACTTGAGTAAAAATGAGTAAAAAGATGTTTTGAGAGAGGACTAACAAAAAACATGGAGGAGGCACCCTACATGTTTGGCATGCCATTAAATAGAACAACAGATGGTAAAGGTGCTAAAACAGTAATAATAAAGACTTCTGATAATTAGAAGACTTGCTACACTGCTGTACTTGCATACTGTGCTGATGATTTAAAATTTTATCCTTTGTTAATCTTTAATTGAAAAATGCTGCCTACATGTAGAATTCCATGCAGAATTAATATTCATGTTTATCCCAAAAGATGGATGGATGGAGAGGATATGAAGCTGTGGTGTTGTATAGAGTCCTTGTGGACTTCACAAGAAATCATCTTTATTAGAATGCGATCAGTTTACGGCCCATATTATGGAGTCAGCAAAAATCCTTGCTACTAAACTGAAAATATATTTTGCTGTGATTACTGGTGGATTGACTTCTCAAATGCAGCCTCTGGACATTTCAGTCAATAAACCATTCAAGGGATTTATGTATGAAGAATGGATAAAATGGATTGAGGTGCCAACACATGATGTCAAACCTATGGGAAGAATGAAATTGCAATCAATTTCTAGTGTTTGTGAGCGGGTGGAAAAGTTCTGACAGAAAGTGAGATTATCATAAAGTGAGAAGTCTTTTAAAATGTAAGAAATTAGCAGTGTGCTATATGGAAGTGAAGATGACACTGTATATGAGAAAAGTGACAAATCTAATGACAGTGACAACAAAATGAAAACAACTGCATATATGATTTTAGCAGCAGTGATAACAAATTATGGGGATTCCACAAAAATAAATACTTATACACTATTTGGTAATCTTTTAATGCAACAGTTCCATTTTCATTGTATAAAGTGTTATCATTAAAATAGGTATTTTGATCCTTTTCCGTCCGATCCACATACTTTTTGTAAATTTTAACCTGAAGAATCACAGTGCATCTTATGCACCAGTGTGTCTTATAGGCCGAGATGTACAATAAATTAAAACAAAAATTGTCCTTGGAATTCATAAAACCTGCATAATTAAAATCCTTCATGTTTAACATGAATATTGCCAATTTTTTTTCTTAAACATCATCTCTCTACAGGAAGACAATGATTTGTTATAAGAAAGAACCTAGCCTAAACTGTTGCATTAAAAGCCTCAAAAAAGCAATTTGAATATCAGAAATATATATTCACAAAAATAAAATTTGAAATTTAGGAATGCGCCACCATGATGAAAAAGTAAAACATTTGAATTGTGGAAAAATTTTTTGAGTGCCAGCTAAAAATATAGGTTTTGAACTGCAGAAGATATTTAACCTAGTTGAACATAGTATATCATTAGCTAATTGAATAAAATATGCCTATAAATATATCAGATTGCAAATTAAGCCAATATTTATTAAATAATATGTTAAATAGAAAATTGTAGAAAAATGAGCATATACATAAAACAGAATCTCTTTAAATTATACACTTTATTATACATATTATACAATTATACATTTTGCACCAAACATTTCCAGCATGGCACTGAGGAACATTTTAATTTACAACCTTTAGTCTGATACTAATAACAAGATTCATTCTCTACTTTTTCATTCATTAATTATAAAATACTTATATATTTTTTATGAAATTTATACACTGAAAATTCTTTAAAGCTTTAAAAAAACTAAAGAGAGACAGAGAGAAAAATTTTTTGCTTTAAATATTTTGAAACAAATATCTATCTGAATTCCTTTATTCTGGAAAGTTTGATGATCAATTATATATGGTTACAGAATTGTCTCAATTCCTTTCTTATTTAGTTTCATTTAACATGACTATTTCTGCAAATTTCACATTTCTGTTTAATATGATAAACAGAATTGATTCTTAGGCTGATTTAGCAAAGTTTTGTGGTAAAAAGTATCCAGAATAAGTAATGAGTACACAGACACAGGACAAATTATTAGATTCAAAAGAATAAATGGTACTTACGTATTAACGCAACCAGGCCAAAATTTGCATAAATCGCCAAATTTGGCAACCCTACTTACGGCAACCCTACGTGTTATACGTAGTTTTGTAAAAAGAATTTATTTGTAAAAAGAAAAAATAACACTGGGCGTGTACTACCACAGCAATGGGTTTTCAGCGGAATTTGCCGAGAAAAGAAAGAGACTTTTTTGGTTACTGTACCTAACAGAAGCGTCATTACCCTCATGGGAAAAATTTGCGAAAATATCAAGGAAGGAAGCATCATTTATTCGGATTGCTGGAAAGGATATAATACAAGTGAGTTTGAAAACGCTGGATTTCTGCATGGAACTGTTAATCACAAATATAACTTTGTGGATCCCAACACGGGCGTTCACACACAACATGTAGAGTGCATGTGGGGCTCAGCCAAATGGCGCAACAAAAAACAGAGAGGAACAGCCCGTCATCATCTTGACTCATACCTTATCGAATTTATATGGCGCCAAGCTCAAGCTGTTAATGGCGAAGACGGTTTTCAATCAGTGCTAAAAGCAATAGCCAAAAGATTTCCACCAAAAAAATAATTCTGCAACTTATTCAAATTCGAAACCGGAAGGGTTTAATTGCTATTTGATATTTTAAAACAAAATAATATAAAAAACTGTATTAAAAATTAATAAATGTACATTTTCTTTCTATTCATACTTTTTTACTCAAACTTCCAAATCGCGCCAACCTGGTTGCGATAATACGTAAGTACCGAATAAATTTCAAAATTATTAGAATGAGCTTACTAAGTACGAATATTTCAATACATTGAAAATTAAGTGCTTTTCTTGCATTCATTGCTGTTAGAGCTCTATCCATGCATTGCTAGCAAAATATTATCATATTTTGACTTATTTCTTCCCCCACACTTAATGCTTAAACCTAGATGCTTCTTACCAAAACTTTTTTGTCTGGTTTACTGTTAGTATATTTTTTCTTTGTTTTCTATTGTACTTCCATTCCCAAAA